GAGTGATTAAGCGGTTCGAGGAACGGTTGACCACCGATCGGAAGCCCAGAAGTGAAGGAAAAAGTATTCCGTACAACACCAAAAATCACAACCGCGTAGTTGGGGCCTTCAACCGAAATCCGAACGCCTCCGTTAGGGATGTGGCTAAGAAGCTGCACCTAAGCCGAAGTTTTGTCCAGAAGGCCAAAACTAAGGCTGGGCTTCGAACGTTCAAGGTACAAAAGGCCCCTAATCGCGACGATAAGCAGAACAAGTCCGCCAAAACCCGTGCCAGGAAGTTGTACCTCAACATGCTGACGAAAGTTGAATGCTGAATCATGGACGACGAAACATATGTGAAGGCCGACTTCAAACAGATCCCCGGCAACCTGTTTTTCACGGCCAAGGATAAGTTCAGCGTTCCGGAGCATGTCCGCACTCAGAAGATGTCCAAATTTGCGAATAAATTCCTGGTTTGGCACGCCATCTCCACGTGCGGGAAGCGGAGTGCACCTTTCGTGACCCAGGACACGATGAACGGACAGGTGTACATAAAAGAGTGCCTCCAGAAGCGGCTGCTTCCTCTCCTGAAGGCCCACAACGTCCCAACAATCTTCTGGCCGGATTTGGCCTCATGCCACTACTCCAAGGACGTGCTGAAGTGGTATGCGGACAATAAGGTCAATTTCGTGCCGAAAATGTTCAACCCTCCCAACACTCCGGAGCTCCGCCCCATCGAGAAGTACTGGGCGATTATGAAGCAGCACCTTCTTAAACGACCTAAGGTAGTGAAGACAGTCGAGGAACTGAAGAAAGTATGGGTTTACATGCAAAAAACGGTTGATTCACAGGTTGTGCAGAATCTTATGGCCGGGGTTAAGGCCAAGGTGCGGGCATTTGCGTATGGACTGTAAATAAAATACCAGTAAAATGGTAAAATGAAGTTTAATAGTTATTTCTCAATCCCTGAAAATTTGATGGCAATCGGATGAAAACTCGAATTTTGCGAATCAATTTTGTGTGTGGCAATTTCATCGTGGACACCCTTTATTGCTTATAGAATATTAGATTTTTGCCTGCTCTCAACTTAGTGTTCTTTGAAGTACTTTCACATTTTAATTGAGAACTTTCTATGCCTGTACCATCCTATACCCAAGTAAGTAGATAAATTTTCCAACCCAAAAAGTTAATAGTAAGGACGGTAAACGAACTCAGTCGCCTCCAGCATGGACTTGCTTTGTAGCTGCGCCTTTACCGACTGAGCTAAAGATGTATCGTTTGTAACCTTAGAAATAAAATAAAAAATAACAATGTTTCATCTTCAGTTATTTATGTATGGTATAAATTCTGAGTAATTAGTTAACATAATACATACAACATACATTATGAGATTCTTTTGAATAATACCGGCCTAGATTTGATGAAACATTATTAAAAAAATGCATTTGAAATACATATTTTCTTGAAAATTTACCTTTGCGTCTCTGACGTATTTTCCTGTTCTAAATGTTAATTTGGCTCTAGTTTTCTCAATTTTTTACCGATTCAGACCAAATACCCTGCACATAATCGAGAAATTTCCAGAGTTTCATAAGTCACACTTGTTGGTCACGTCGCGGTTGTGTATTTACACGGATATTCCTTGGGGTCTGGTCAATGGTGAGACATTTTCTTGTTTTTTTTTATTTCTAATATGAACCTAACACTTTTCGTTGTCAAATCATAACCGAATCGTATATATGTGACTTTGTAGATCATGCACGACTTATAACTATGTATGCCGGAAATTATAGGTTTTCCAAGTCGTCCCGGACATCAGTTGATTTGTTCTACTAGATCAACCAAGACTGCAATAATGTCTGTAGTATCGAGTAGTCTGTGGATCATACAAGATCTATTTCCGAGTAATCCAGATGTTCAAGGATCTTCAAATCATCCTGGAGTTCAGATAATTTGATCTACTACCGAGATTAGGACAATGTCTTTAGTATCGAAATATTTCCAGACAGATGCACAGTGTCTATGCGGATCATGCATGAACTATTGCCATGTATACCAGATGTTTTAAGTTCTCCAAATCGTTCTGGAGTTCAGATGATTTATTCTACTAGATCAACCATGACTGGGATAAAGTCTGTAGCATCGAAATATGTCCAAACAGATTCAAAGTGTCTATGTGGATCGTGCCCGACCTTTTGCTACGTATACAAGATGTCATAGGTTCTGAAATCATTCTGGAGATCAGATTATTTTTCTACTTATTTTTTTTAATCAAGAAATTCGCCAACCAACAGTAAAATAACAATAATATATACTGTTTTTGAAAAAAAAAATATATGGGGAAATCTCGAAAATATCATTGTTAAGATACTTAACAACCCCCTTTTCTATTGTAAATTTTCCATTTACCATGAAACTAAACAACAACATAAATCAAGGTAAATTTATTGTAGTCGCAACAATATAAATCATTGTTAAGACAATAATTTTCGGCTTCTTGTTACATTGTTTTTTAATGTATTTTTGTTGTTTTTTTTTTTTTTGGAATCTTGTATACGTAGCAATAGGTCGGGCACGATCCACATAGACACTTTGAATCTGTTTGGACATATTTCGATACTACAGACATTATTGCAATTACTCGCATGATTTGACAACGAAAACTGCTATGTTCATATTGGAAAAAAATAAATAAGAAAATGTCTCACATTGGACAGACCCCAGGGAATTTCCGTGTAATTTCGGTGTGACTTATGGAATTGAGATCATTTCTCGATTATATGCAGAGTGTTTGGTTTGCACCGGTAAAAAATTGAGAGCCAAATGAACAACAAAATTGATGACAGCAAAATAATCCCTTCGCGATTTTCGCGACATCATTTAATGTTTCCGCGATTTTCGCGACTGAAAGTTCAAATCCGCGACAAATCAAGAGCAAACTTTCATTATGTCGTAAGTAACATTCGCACCGATCCGAGAAAAATAAAGTTTTGTTTTGATGACCGAAAAGTTATTCCTATTTCCAATTAAACACATATAATCTCATAGGGATAGCAATGTTTAACATATTTAGCCGGGTTTTAATCATACAAAGGTAAATCGCTAGCTTTCATGCTAAGAAATACTGGTTTTTGAGTTAAAAGTTATTATACGTCGTTTGGTGGCCCCTATTGTAATTTAAGTCAAAGTGTATTCACCAGGATATTCGGGAGAATTATCAATTACGTCTCCTTACGTGCAGCCCATTCATCATTTTAGGACCACCGAAATCATCTTAGCAACAAACAATTCGATTTATTCACTTTAATAATGAGAAAGCGAAACGACGAAAGTACACTTTTCACGGGTTTCTCAGTGCTGTTACTTAAGGCAAACGGCATCTCCATAGAAATCGGGTGACTTAAGTAACATCGAAAACTATTTTGATCGGAAGGTGATTACGTCAAAAAGCAATTCGACTGGTAAATAAATTTAAAATGGGATGTGATCCTATATTCGACAGTATATAGTGTAATAGCAGGAGCATCGATTGACACTGATAGCTCGACTTTGTTTACCTTTGTTACATTCGACGTAATGAAAATTTGCTCTTGAAATCCGCGAAAATCGCGAAATCCGTGAAATTCGCGAAATCCGCGCCTGTTGTAACAGCCCTGCAAACGTCAGAAAAACCCTGCGGGGAACTACAATGGATTGTTTGATCGACGATATTAAAATGAATATGCATTGAATTGAAACAGTGTAAAGTTTGTTATTGTTATTTTCACAGCATTCAATTTAGCGAGTGTAGAAAGGCTTCCCGCTTCTCGCTAAAAACGCTTTCAACTCCTAATTTCAATGTGAAATGAAAAGTTTGGATTGTGTCGTTTGACGTGTAAACGATCAAATTTAAACGTTTACACGTCAAACGACACAACTCAAACGTCAAATCATATGTTCCCTACCAAAAACTCAGCCAGATTGTGGCGGCCATAAGCGCTCGTAAAATGCTGGATAACTGCTTTTTATCTGGGCTACAGTAGTAATCCTATGTATAGAGATTCGCGGAACCGGCCATTGTGAGCCAATCGAGCAGCGAGAACTGTCAAACCGTCAAACTGTGAGCCAAACGAGCATTTTGATTAGAAAATATTTAGAGGATTATTGAGTTGAAAAGAATTGTAATCGGGGAAAATTAATTCAAACTAAAAGCAAATATGTATTGTAGCAGTAAAATGCGTATGACATAAGAGAGTTTTATGCATAATTAACAATTATATAAAACATTGTGAATGGATATTTTTTATAGATTTTTCAGTTCGGATAATATTGCTGGTTGCATCTGCAACAGGACAGTCCCAAAAATTCAAAAAGTGTGATAAAATGCACGATTCCGTCCTTGTCTCTGGAGCACTTATTGCTTCCTTATGAATGCGTGCACTAAAGACACCAAAACGATTAGAAGAAAATTCGCACTTTTATCACCCTTTTTAAGAAGTGAAAACGCGCTTAGGTGTCCAGTTTGGTGTGAAGTGCGCAATTAAACCATAGAGGTAACTCTAAGAACAGAAGCTCCCGAAGAACGAGCTCAACTTTTTGTCTCAGCTCTGGTACTATCTTCGGTCCCAAGCTAATCGATGCACCCCTCGAAACATAGGAAAATCCACGAACCCCTCATTTTATCTGTCAAACTTTCATAGCGAATCAAAACAAACATAGTGTAGTACTGGAATTGATACTATAATGGAGCACGTTAATCGATTTGCTTGGAACCAATAGGCTAATCAAGTAGTGAGCCAATTTAAACAACTATTTTTCCAATGGACGCATACTTGTCCCACTAGAAACATTCAAAAAAGAAAATCGATGAAGAGAATTCGTAGTTAGACCCTTCTGATTCAGCTAGACTTACAAAACTTTTTTTTTTCAATTTCATATTTCCAGTGGGAAGTTATTCAAGTGGGAAATCGCCTTAACATGTTTTCAAATGTTTGTGTTTTATAACAGTTATGCGTCCACCGACAGTATATGCATCAACTTACCCAAAATATTCTATGGTTGGCTGGTTTATTACGGGAATATCACATAAAACTCGTTCACTGCTATCCGTTTCGATTTTCAGTTTTTTTAGTGGTGGCTCATGCGAATCTCTCACTATAAAATTGTGTAAAAGAGACATAAAGACAATTCTCATTAAAATATGCCTTAAAACAGACTTATAACCTTGTGTTGGAAAAGTTCCCGAAAACTCACTATGACTCTCAAACTTTTCACTTGGTAATTTTTGTTAAATATCGCGAACTTTACCAACGTTGGTTATTATAACATGTTATAACCTATCTTGATGACATTTTTCTTGACAATAATTATTATAAAATGTTATATCTGGATCAATAATATAAAAGGGCCCATCAGCATTTGTAAACAAAACGTTCCAAAGCCCTTTACTCACAAAGCGAAGGCCACCCACGCAAACCAACACCATCATCGGATAGGGGAAACTTCTACCTACACGATGATGGTGATGGTTTGTGTGAGCGGCCTTCGATTTGTGAGGAATGGGCTTTGGAACGGTTTGTTTACAAATGCTGATGAGCCCTTTTCTATTGTTGATCCAGATATATCCGTATTCTGATGTCTTGTTCATATTAAAGAGTTATAACATGTTAAAATGTTATAACTGATCAGTCTGGCCAGTGTTTGAACATAGCATTATATTAAAATTTATGTTTTGCTTAATTTCAGTTGATTCAAACGTACTTCTTGTTTTTGACAACATTGATGCTACTTCGCTGAGCAGATCACATTCTTTCCCATCTAGATGCGCAGTTACTTTCGATCCCAGCATTATACCAATATCGGCAATGTAAATAGCGTCTTCTAAATAATCAGTCTTTTCATCTGAGCATAAAAGCATATAAACAATCTGAAATATGATTGTTTTTATAGAATAGATTTTGTTTAAAATTTTCGTTGCTTAAAAAAACTTACCCGAAGAAAACAGACAATGGTGAATACCTCCCTTTCTTCCTGAGGTACAGCGTGCCATTCTCCTGTGTGTAAATTCCCATACACCAGGTCATACAGAACGCCAATCCGAGTAAGATTCTGTCGCGCACATATCAAGTTGCTATTATCCATCAATCCACTTCCCACAGGTTCAATCACTCGGGTTATCACATCACGATAGAGATTTCTTATTTGAATGGATTTATTTTCACTGAAAAACAGCGGTTCTGGAAAGATTTTTAACAAACTCGATACAACGCTCATGTTTTCATTCAAGAGAAGCAGTTGTTATTGTTATTGTTTACGAATTAGGGGAAGGACGATAGCGAGAGAGCAATCTAGGAAGGAACATATGGAAACAGAAACAACTCATGAGGATATACCCGCAGTGATGCCAAAAGATCTTATTAAAATACTTTAGAGCGTATTTTTAGCAACAAATCCGCCGGAGATAAGTGGGTTCTTTAATTTTGAAAAAATATATAGATGGATTACTAGTCACCCTCGTTTTCTGAGCACATCGATATTTTTTTTGATCCCATTTACTTCCATCTAGATTTTTAAATCAAGATTTAAAGCACTTTACTGTTTGACATAAAACCAACATATTAACAGATCACTCCCATTCAAAGTGCCACAGAGGGGCACTAACACTAAGATGGTGATTTTGGCTAATGTAATTACACTTATTTAAAATAGTTCCAGTGCCCCAAAACCGATGAAATTTTGAATTTCGGTTCGGTCACGACAGGTTCCACCCCTAATAAAATTGTTATGGTTATTTTGCTTAACGACGTGTTCCGGGTATGATCCAAGCCATATTTGGCATACCGTGGACCCTCGCTAATCTGAAAGATTTTTTCACCAAGCCAGGCATAAAAAAGGGCCGAGAATCCATAAGCCAAGGCATTGTGCGAGTACAGCGCACTATGTCTCAAAATATTTGAGGTAAATTTAAACGTAAACTCAGTTTGTTAAGGCCCGAGCGCAATGACAACGGCAGCGGAAAAGCCCGATCTGAGAAAGCCAACTTGTCGGATTGAAAACTTGTTGGAACCAAATCGACTTCGGTTAGGCATCTTGATGTCATTTGTGACAACTGTCAAACTTTCCGTTTCCGTTCCACTTCGGTCCACATTGCGTTTGGGCCTTTACACTAGGTTTATTTCAATGTTGGAAGTCATGTGATATCAATGTTTAAAATAAAAATAATATTACGTTTATTTTAAAAATATTCTAGTTGAAATTAAACGTGAATATTTTTGTTGGATTTGACAACTTGTTTTATTTTAAACATGCTTTTCATTTTTAAAACAAACATGCATATTTTTAAATTATGTTAGTATTTGAATGCGCAAGAGTTGAAAATAAACCAGAACATTGTTGTTTGATTTGACAATTTGATTTATTTTAAACATGCTTTTCATTTTTAAAACAAACATAATAACAAAAATAAAATCGATAACAAATCAGTTAAAAACATCATCTGCAGGCTGGGCATCTAAATGCCAGCTATTTTTCGGGGCTGATTAAGGGTGGTCTGTGGTGATCCTGGTCCGGGATCGGGACCCATCGGAGTTGGTGTTAGGGGGTTCCAATTCAGTAACCGGCGAAACTGTGTGATATTGGCGTCGTTTTGTCACTAACCGTTTTGTCGCTGACCTTCATAACGACCTCTTTCTACGTTTGGTGTCGGGGGAGGTATAGTCGCTAAATTCATAGTCTGGCGAATAGAATTTCGATTTATCAAAAAGCAGAACCAATTCAATATATTGTAGACCAACAATTGAAAAGGTTCTATCAACTTTTATAAACAAAACGTTGATTATTCTTTCCTCGCCAATCGAACGCAAATTACCAGCATCATCGGATAGGAGAAGCTTTCCCCAACCCAAAGATGGTATTAATTTGCGTAGGTGAGTCTTGAGTCACGAGAAAAGGGGTTCCGAAGTTTTGTTCGCAATAACTCATGTGCTCTTTTCTGTAGTTGATCGTGATTTGCTCGATTGGTTCCGCTATTTGACAGCTAAATTGGTTCCCGAGATTCTATCCGCCAGACTATGAATATAGCGACTATAGGGGGAGGGGGAGGATCTGGACTGGATTTGGAATCCATTTTGGATTTTCATTGTTCTTTCGATGTCGGGCGTGCAGATCAGCATATCAGAAACGACGGAGTGACTTTGTTATTGTGGGCTTCCTCCGGTTTTGTCGAAACTGCTACAAATTTATTTCGACACTTGACCAGGTGGGTTTCCGGATCGCTTAACGACGTGTTCGGGGTATCATTAAAACCATTTGTGGAATAATGGTATGTATTATATAATTATGAGTAGTCAAATCGGGCTTTTCCACTGCCACTGACATCCCGCTGCCGCTGACGTTCCGCTTCCGCTGTCATTGAGCTTGGGTCTTTATAGTACGTTCAGACTACAGAGTTATAACATGTTATAGCGCTATCTTGATGGTGGTTTCTGTGTTGCAATTAGTTGACAACCGTTATAACATGTTATAACCAACAATCAATACGAAACTAACGATTTTAAATTGGCTCACTACTCGACTAGCCTATTGGTCCCAAGCAAACGATTAACGTACCCTATTCTAGTCAAAATTCTAGTACTACACAATGTTTGTTTTGATTCGCTATGCAAGTTTGACAGATAAAATGAGGGGTTAGTGGATTTTCCTATGTTTCGAGGGGTGAATCGATTAGCTTGGGACCGAAGGTAGTACCAGAGCTGAGCCAAAAAGTGGAGCACGTTTCTTCGGGACCTTCTAGTCTTAGAGTTACCTCTATGTTATAACTCTCCAGTCTGTACAGCGTTTTACACTCAATCTGGGAAAAGTTAATTAATAGCGAATTTGGTTACTAACAGGGTTGGAGCCAGTTCCAACCCAGTGCGAAACCGAACCTTTTATCAATGCGATCCGAGGTGCGAACCTCTATCTGAGCTAGGTTTTAAAAACAAACGAGCAAACTGACGTTTGTCAGAACACAAGCACACCCAATCTTGAAACCCGGTCCAGGTTGGAACTGAATAATAAACAAATTCGCTACAAAAGTCAACAAAGCTATAAATATATAAAGTTATATATAACTCGACCCGGTCAAAATCATTGAAACTATTTTTTCTAAACATTTTCTATCCTCCATATTAAAAATTATTCTGGCATCACGGGTGTCTGTGACAGCTGCAGCCCTGCGCATTGCATCGGAAAACGTTGCCCAGCTGTCATGTCAAGTGAAAATTTTAGCTCAAAGCGGCAGCATTTTGCGAGGTGGTGAAAAATCGTTCTAAACCAGTAAAAAGTGCTCTAAAATAAAAATTTCAACCGCTGGATTATGAATGGTGCAGCAGTAATGGTAAATGTTATGTTTAATATGTAGAAAATGTGTTTTCCTTAGCAAAAAATGAATTTAAAAACTAAGCATTTTGCGTAGCCACTTCCCAAAATCAATCATGGCGGACGTAGCTTTCTAGCTCGATGCTGTTGTTTCCTTTTTCCAATTTTCATGTGTGATAGTAGATGTGAATAATGCGAGAGTGGATCTGTTTGTTTACATCGATGTTTTCATACAATTTCGGCAGTGAACTGGCGTTTTTCCTTAAAATTCAGTTAACCTCTTGAAAAATGATTACTAATTTTGTATTTTTCGTAGGGCGGTAACAACGAATACGCTAACAGTGGTGGTAGCAGCAACATCAACGACCCATCGCCCGTACGTGACGACTACCGGAAAGATGGTTCCGAGGATCCTTCACCGTCGAAGGCTTCCTCGACTTCATCCAAACGAGATAAAGAAAGTCGTGGACGCGACCGAGATCGCGATCGGGACCGCGAGCGTGAAAGTCGTGACCGCAGCAGAGACAGAGATCGCCGTGATCGACGTGATCGCGATCGGGAACGTGGTGAGTAAAAGATGATTGCTTTTGAAATCTCTCGAAGAAATCCCTGTGCAGGACACTATCAGCAAAGCAGTAGTGTTGTATTAGAACCAATACTTTTTTTATCATTGTAAAGTGTTTCTGCACAAGGTTTGACCCGTAGCCAGATAGTTTTGCTGTTAAGCATTGGCATTTGATACAACGTAAAGATGATCCGTTTATTGTACCGTATGCTCTCGTTTGTTTTATAGGTCCCACCTACCGAATAGGCGAGTCGAATTATTAGCCATTCATGCTCTTTTTTATTACCATCCACAGCTTTTACATTTTGATATTTCTCTTGTCCTTGGCCTATATATACTTTATCGTTTTTTCTTCTTCTGTTAGTTCGTTTCTCACTAATTCTTGGCGGTTTTCTACTCTTCTGCTTAGATTTTGCAGACTCCGACACAGAACCGTATATTTCTCCTCTACAACTACTTCCGCCACTGCAACCAGTATGAGTGTGAAAGTAACAATTGAAATAGAAAAAGTGTCCCGCACGAACGATCGAAGACAGAGGTGACTTTCTCTAATCTTCTCTTTTCTCTTATACGCAAATTATTAATATGATAATCTTTTTGTAACGGTGAGGTGCACGAGTGTCACAAGTGAGTTATTTTGAGTTAGAGTTCAAAAGTTGAACTATTTGCCCATTGTTTATCTTAAGAAATCTATATGTTTTAGCTACATATTTTTGTACGTATGTACAAATCTTGCATTGTTGTTGTCAATACAGGTTTGTCGATAATTCTGAACATTCCACGAGTCTCTCATTTCGCCAGGACCTTCATCCAGCTAAAAAAATTGATTTGGCATTTGTTCGAAAACTTTGAGTTTCATTTGAAATTTTGGAAAAAAAACACAAAACCATATATTAAGCACATCAGTGTTTTACTTTTTCCATTCAGCTTCAGGCAACTTCCTTCTATCTTAAGTGGTTTTTGTTAAATCTTCTCAACCACAACAAAGGATGCGAGTACTCCCCAACAAGTTTTAGCCTTCTGTCAGTTGGCCCAAATCCGAATTCGTTAGTTGAGGGGTGGTGGTGGCCCAGCTAGCGAATTTCGACTGTATCAAAAGGATAACAAATCTAGCTCAATGTATGCATTTTGATATTGGTATTTTCGTTAACAATAAACAAAATTAGTAATCGATATGTTATTATTACTATGAGCATGATTGACCGCCTGTGGATGCAACTCCTTTATTGCCAGATCAACTGTAATTACACAGAGAACCAATCATCCTCAATGTGTAAATAAATGTGATTTAAAACTAGAAAATACCAGCGCCGGCCACGTCCGAATGCTGGTCAATAAAGGAATGGGAATATGTTGACGTAATACTCGCTTTCATGA